GCAGCCAGTGGGGAGGCCAGCGAGCAGGGGCAGCAGGCAGCACCCTTCCTGAGGGGGCGGCCCAGAAGCTGCCCGTGTCATTGTGGTCACAGCCCGATGGCCAGACCATAGTCCTGTGACCATATGTGGCTGCAGGGGATGCTGGAAACATCATCTATAGCTGGGCAGGCACATGCCCGGCTAAAACCTGGGGGCCTGTTAGGAGGGGAGAACTGGGGACCGTTTGCCACATACACCGAAATCAAAGTGCTGGAATTGGACAGTGCAAGGAAAGAAACCAGAGGCTGTCCCTTGTTGGCTGGGGCTCCTCAGCGTTGTTCTTGTTATTTAACTTGGTGCCTTAGTTTCCTCGTCTGTAAAATCAGTCTTAATGACTTCAGGTAACTCACAAGGTTAAAGCAAGCCAGGCCTGTGCAGCAAGTGCCCAATAGAGAGCTGGTATGATTTTCTGATCGTGCCTCAAAAAAAAGAGAGTCCAGGAAATGAGTTTGGTTTTCTTGCATGTATGTACTTTGAAAATTTATTCTTGAACTCTTTTTGTAGTTGTGCTTTTCTCTTTCAGGTTTTATTTTTCTTAGTTCTACAGAATAAATCTCTATGCAGTTTATTCGTCAAAGTTTAATACTTAATGGGCACCTCATGTTTTTGGAGAACACATTGATTATTGTTTATTAATGGGAATGGATAACCTTTACAAGCCTTTGTCAACAGTGCTGGACATTGTCACAATAGCCATGTAAATCAGGGATTGTTGATCCACTTTGCAGAGGGGGAGACTGAGGTCAAGAGGTTCATGAGCTTGTATGGTTCCGGTAGCTAGTGCAGGTGGAGCTGGGGTTCAGACTCGGGCCAGCTAACTCCAGTGCCCTCCAGACAGGGGTCCACACTGCTGGCCACACAGTGTCCAAAGCAGTGCCGGCCCAGAGGGAAGGATCTAGAAGGGTCCTCAGGCAGCAGGACTCAACCGCCTCCTCTTTCCACAGGCTTTACAGGAGTCAGGGGCGATCGTGGCCATGACAGGGGACGGGGTGAATGACGCAGTTGCCCTGAAGTCTGCGGACATAGGGATTGCCATGGGACAGATGGGGACAGATGTCAGTAAAGAGGCCGCCAACATGATCCTGGTGGATGATGACTTCTCAGCCATCATGTAAGCTGCTCTTTAGGTAGTTTTTTAGTTGTAGAAATGCCTGTGGTAACCAGCTTCCCCCTGGGATCTGCTGCAGTGGAGATACAGGAGGTTCCTGCTGAGAGTCCCCAGGAGGTCACAGGGAAAGACTGGCCACTGTGGCAGGTGTCCCCCCACACCCCAAACACCAAGAGCCTCTTAACTCTGGGGCTAGCTACATGCAGCAGAAGCTGGGTGGATGTTAGGGACCCTGCAACTGAACTCAAATCTGCAGCCTGCACTTCAGTTACTGCCAGGCAGGCCCGCCCCGACTACCTTGAGGAGAGCTGGGGTCAGCCTACGGCTGCAGTGCTACATGTAAAGAGAACCTAGAGCCTGAATGGCCAACAGCAAGAGACAGGAATGCTGTATGGCCGTTACGAATCATGTTTGGAAGAATATTTTAGTGGCACAAAGAAATCTCACAGGGTAGTGCTGAGAAAAGATGAAAATGAAGATAACTCGGCTTGTCTCGCGTCACGTCTGTATTGACACATACATCTCCTGCATTGAAAAGAGATTGGCCAGAAGTGCCCCAAATCATTCACACTGTTAGGATCTTTAGGCTCTGGGATTATAAAAAAAACAAACAAACTATGTTTTATTCTGTTTTACTTTTCTGTATGTTCCTCTTAATAAAATTAGTTCTAATTAAGATTTTACTCAAGTGAATCACAGTAATTGGGGGTGAAGAAAATATTTTTGAGCCTGATGTCAAAAATCAGAGCAAATGCTGAAGTCTGGTGTGATTATGGACTTCACAAGGGAGTCCTTTGCTTTATAATGAGTTCACCACAGGAATTCTAAATGTGTTGCCCTTAGTTTTAAAAAATGCAGTCATAAAGGCTGGCCCATGGCTCACTTGGGAGAGTGCGGTGCTGATAACAGCAAGGTCACGGGTTCGGATCCCTATATAGGGATGGCCGGTTAGCTCAGTTGGGAGAGCGTGGTGTTGACACCACCAAGTCAAGGGTTAAGATCCCCTTACTGGTCATCCTTAAAAAAAAAAAACGCAGTCAATATATAACTCTACAATTTTAGTTCTTTTGCAAAATTTTTTAGTAAAAATTGGATGGGGTTCGACAGTTTTCTCCTACATTAGTGACCCCCAGGTCCAGTTTTAAAGGGCTTTTGCAGAGCCTTCTAAAGATACCAGTA